TGGCTCAGGAATTCTGGGAGTTGAAGTCCATGAGTCATGAGGGGGCCATAGTTCCCCCATGCTGGCTCAGGAATTCTGGGAGTTGAAGTCCACAAGTCATGAGGGGACCATAGTTCCCCCATGCTGGCTCAGGAATTCTGGGAGTTGAAGTCCACGAGTTATGAGGGGGCCATACTTTCCCCATGCTGGCTCAGGAATTCTGGGAGTTGAAGTCCACGAGTCATGAGGGGGCCATAGTTCCCCCATGCTGGCTGAGGAATTCTGGGAGTTGAGGTCCACGGGTCCTGAGGGGGCCATAGTTCCCCCATGCTGGCTCAGGAATTCTGGGAGTTGAAGTCCACGAGTCATGAGGGGGCCATAGTTCCCCCATGCTGGCTCAGGAATTCTGGGAGTTGAAGTCCACGAGTCATGAGGGGGCCATAGTTCCCCCATGCTGGCTCAGGAATTCTGGGAGTTGAAGTCCACGAGTCATGAGGGGGCCATAGTTCCCCCATGCTGGCTCAGGAATTCTGGGAGTTGAAGTCCACGAGTCATGAGGGGGCCATAGTTCCCCCATGCTGGCTGAGGAATTCTGGGAGTTGAGGTCCACGGGTCCTGAGGGGGCCATAGTTCCCCCATGCTGGCTCAGGAATTCTGGGAGTTGAAGTCCACCAGTCATAAAGGGGCCACGTTTGAAGATCCCTGGTTCTATTCTATGGAGAATAGGTTGGCCCCCCTCTTCCCGTATTACAGCCCCTGAGATGTTGGAAGGCTGCCATTGGGTCATCCCTAGTCCCTCCCTTTCACTAGACCAGCCAAACTTCCTCCCTTGTTCCTCATATGGTCTAGCCCCCCTGTCTCCTAATCCCCTGTTAATCAGCATTCAGGATCCTAATTCTTTCCATGGGGTTGTGTGTATGTTCGAAATCAGGTTCTGAGTATTCCCTCTGCCTCTCCTCCTCCCCTTGCCCAGTTGTGAGTGTGGTTCTTTGGTGCCAGCGTGGGCGCCAAGACATTTGGATGACGAACAGGCTGACTAATTCTTTTACCAGCGCTTTTTTAGAGAGAGCTGGAAGCGGAACGTTGATTAAGGGCAGTAATTCAGGATTTTAATTTTTTTTTTAATTTTTTTTTTTTTTCATTGGAGAGGAAAAAGCTTCCAGGCACGGCAATTTAAGTCTGTTCCTCTTCCAAATCCTTAAAAGCAGCTTTGTGGGGTGAAAAGCATTAAGTGGCTTTCCGGAGAACAGCCAAGAGTGTGTCTCCCCATCCTACAAAAAAGACGTTGAGAGTTTGGAAAAAGTTCAGAGAAGAGCAACTAAGACGATCCAAGGCCTGGAGACTAAAACATACGAAGAACGGCTGCGGGACTTGGGTTTGGCCAGTCTAAAGAAAAGAAGAAACGGGAGACAGGATAGCAGCGTTCCAGTATCTGAGGGGCTGCCACAAAGAAGAAGAGGGGGTCACGTTATTCTCCAAAGGACCAGAGGGCAGGATGAGAAACAATGGTTGGAAACTGATTAAAGAGAGAAGCAACCTGGAATTAAGGAGAAACTTCCTGACAGCGAGGACAATTAACCAGTGGAACTGCTTGCCACCAGAAATCGTGGGCACTCCATCACTGGAGGTTTTTAAGAAGAGGCTAGAGAGTCACTTGTGTGAGATCGTGTGTAGGTTCTCTTGCTTGAGCAGGGGGCTGGACTAGAAGACCTCCAGGGTCCCTTCCAGCTCCTATTCTATTCTATTCTATTCTATTCTATTCTATTCTATTCTATTCTATTCTATTCTATTCTATTCTGTAATTCTATTCTTATTTCTAATTCTCTTATCTCCTCTTCTTATTTCTATTTTTATCCTGTTCTTATTTCTATTCTATTCTATGCTATGCTATTCTGTAATTCTATTCTATTCTGTAGTTCTATTCTTATTTCTAATTCTATTCTCTTCTATTCTATTCTCTTTTCTCCTATTCTATTCTATTCTATTCTATTCTATTCTATTCTATTCTATTCTATTCTATTCTATTCTATTCTATTCTATTCTATTCTATTCCATTCCATTCCATTCCATTCCATTCCATTCTATTATTTTTTAATGACCACCCACTCCTCGGCTAATCCTGAAGTGCTTTTGAGTGCCGGGCCTTCCATAACAACCGTAACCTTGGTTTTGATGTAATTATGGGTGAAGAGGAAGCCTATGTGGTTAGGTTGGATTCTTCAATCCTGACCAGTAAGGGTGGATTGGCAGCTGTGTATCCCAGATCCTTTACCCTGGCGAGGAAGATTTCCAGGGGTGTTGGGGGGGGGTGAGGCTTTATCTGTACATGCTGATGATCTCCAGCTGAATAACTCAAGCAAGATCAAGTGGGAGAAACCTCCGGAGATAGTGATAAAAGAGAATATTTCTAGCTCAGGGACATACTGTGGGATGCTTGGTGCTCTCTGAGCTGAACATCGTCAGTGCTAGAAGGGAGTGGGGTTTGCAGAGAGGAGTAGGAAGAGGAGGAAGGGAGGAGAGGAGGAGGAGGAGGGAGGGGAAGAAAGGATGAGGAAGAGAACTGTGGGGTCCATGGTGCTCTCTGAACTTGGTTTTCTTGCAGACGTTTCATTGCCCAACTAGGTAATACCATCAGTGCTAGAAGGGAGGGGGGTTTGTTGAGTGGAGGAGGAGGAAGGGAGGTGAGGAGGAGGAGGAGGAGGAGGAGGAGGAGGAGAACTGTGGGGTCCTTGGTGCTCTCTGAGAAGGGTTGTTTCCTTGCAGACATTTCATGATCAAGCTAGGAAACATCATCAGTGCTAGAAGGGAGGGGGGGTTGCAGATTGGAGGAGGAGGAGGAAAGGAGAAGGAGGAGGAGGGAGGGGAAGAAAAGAGGAGGAGGACTGAGGGGTCCATGGTGCTCTCCGAACTTGATTGTTTTCTTGCAGACGTTGCATTGCCCAATTAGGTAATATCACCAGTGCTAGAAAGGAGTGGGGGTTGAGGAGGAGGAGGACCACCTGCAGCAGCACTGGGGGGATCCATGATGCTCTCTGAGCTGAGTAACATCCTCAGGGCCAGAAGGGAATGCGGTTGGTTCTCATTTTATGTAGTACTGGCTTGCCCTGTCAGTGTTGGTGGGATAGTCAAGGAACTACCAACTCAGACTAACAAGCCAACGGTAAACAACAGCCCAACGACCAAGAGCGATCCCACCAACATTGACAGGGCAAGCCACTTGTACCTCCTCCCTCCTAGCACTGATGGTGTTCCCTAGTTGGGTCATGAAACGTCTGCAAGAAGACAACCCAGCTCAGAGAGCACCCAGGACCCCACTCGCCTCTGGAGAGTGACAAGGTCTGGAAGAGAGAGAACAAGTCCGGATCTGCCATGCAAGTTGGGCTGTCTTCACAACCTTCTCGATGGTGGGATTGTACCCTCTGCGGCTCTTCATGGGGATGTCCTTCCCAGGGTAAAGGCGACCCACATTTTTGGAGTCCTTGTGGACTTGTGAGAACCACATGAAGGCCATCTCCAGAAGGCCTTCCACCCAACTTCCTCTGATTGTGGCCTGGCCCAGGGCACCCAAGACGCTGTTTCAGACCCTGGTCGTCTCCTGCCTGGATTGCTCTTACCCGCTTTACATAGGGCTGCCCTTGGAGACCTCTTCCAACCTCTTCCGTAGGGCTCCTTCTCCTACAAAGTCCTACGCCTGTTTGGCAGGAATCTTCCCAGCTTGCCAGTTTGCACCTGGGCCGGACTAGATAAAACTGAGTGGCATTCCAAGGGATTGGGTTCCTATGTAAAGATTCCAGGCTACTTCCCCGTTTGACTCCTTCCCCCATCTCAGCCAGTCTCCTGCTTGAGCAGCAGGTTGGACTAGAACAGGGAGCCCCAACATTTCTGCTTTGGCGGCCCAGCGGGAAAAGGAGAGGGGCAGACATGTTTATGCACCCGTGCGCACACACGCAAATGTGGCTGTGTGTATGTCAATGCAAACGGGACTGTGAGCATGAGTGCTCCACAAACGGCCACGTGCATGTGCACAATACTTGCGGTAACGCTAAAGCCCATGCGATGCCCCCGCATGAAGTTCCTGGTGGTGCTACCGTGCACATGCTCACGGCCATGCTAGCATAAGGGGGGGCGAGACCGCGCACATGCATGCGCATACTTGCCTGCCACTTATCTGGCCCGGTGGCCGAGAGGCCACGGCCCGGTAGTGCACAGATTGGGGACCTTTGGACTCCCTTGCAACTTGTCTGTCTCTCTCAAGCTTCCTCCTTCCGTTATATATTCAAGCTGGACAGTATTTAATATTTATTTGTTATGTATATGTAGGGATGGGGGTCTATACATTTATGTTGTACATAGTATGTTTAGGTGTGTGTTTCACTTTGAGAGCGGGCAAGTCAATTTCATTTTTGATGGGTGCCGTTGTGCCCACAGTAAAAAAAAAATGACAAGGTTATCTTATCTCAGTGGTGGTACGGGTGCCAGAGGCGGCACTCAGAGCCCTCTCTGTGGGCACACGTGCCGTCGCCCCAGTCCTAGGCCTTTAGCTAGGTTTTATAAAACCTTTTTGCTTTAGGCCTCTGCCGCCGTGTGCAATTAAAAAAAAAAGGTTCAATCAGTCAATTTCAACTTCTCGCGGGGAAAAAAAAGATCTCGCAAAGTTGGAATTGATTGATTGAACTTTTTAGTCCCACCCAGTCTGCCGTTACTACTGCAGCCACACCCACCCAATGGGCCATGCCCACTTAATTGGCCACACCCACCCAATGAGCCATGCCCACCCAATGGGCCACACCCACCCGGCAACCGACGATGCATAAGTGGGTTTTGGGTTGCAGTTTGGGCACTCGGTCTCTAAAAGGTTCGTCATCACTGTCTTATCTCTCCAACACTACGGCTTGAATGTCCTCGTTCTAAAGTTCTAAACTCAAGGTCCCCGTTTCCAAGTCCCATCTCCCAAATTCTCCACCAGCTCCTCTCCTTGGTGCCGTTCACGAAAGATCCATGGTTTGTTCTCCTCCCCGCAGGCATGCTGGAAGACGGGAAGAAGTTTGACTCGTCCCGCAACAGGGGCAAGCCCTTCAAGTTTGTCATGGGCAAACAGGAAGTCATCCGTGGCTGGGAAGAAGGAGTCTCCCAGGTAGGGCGGGGCCAGGTGGGATGGGGAACTGGCCAGGAAGAAGGAGTCTCCCAGGTAGGGCGGGGCCAGGTGGGATGAGGAACTGGCCGGGAAGAAGGAGTCGCCCAGTAGGGCGGGGCCAGGTGGGATGGGGAACCGGCCACGAGGGGAGGGCCCCATCACGGCGGCCGCGCCTGTCCGAACTGCAGATAGTCCTCAACTTACGACCAGGGAATGGCCACTAAACAAATGGCACAACCCATCATGAGCCTGGAGGATTGGGGGCGGGGGTCTCAGTTAGTAGACTTGGTTCTTTGGTTTGAGGGTGGGTCTTCTCCGGACTGTCTATGGCAGGGGTCTTCAAACTTGTGGACTTCAACTTCCAGAATTCCTCAGCCAGGCACGCCGAGTTGAAGTCCACAGGTCATCAAAGGGCCAAGATTGAAGATCTGTGATCCATGGAGATCCCCGGTCCTCCAGATCATGGTTGTCCCAAAGGTGCTCATTCAAGAGGCAACCGGACTTTCTTATTTATTTTTTCTTTGAAGGTGTTTCGCTTCTCATCCCAGAAGCTTCTTCAGCTCTGACTGGAGGGTCTCCTTAATGGAGTGAGCCATGTGCAGATCTGCACACTGGGGAAACGAAACAACCACTTCACAAACGGCAGGGGCACATCCTAGGAGAACCATCCCATCAGGACCAGTCTACCACACAGTCCTTTCAGCAGTTCCAAGAAGGCTCCACGCCCACTTGCACCACTCAGGTGACCCTGAGGACACAGGTGGCCTCAAGGACTCTCTAAAAGGAGGCCAATGACCGGCTGTCTGCAAGGAGTGTAAATCCTTCCCTTCCCCACCATCCAGTCAGAACCGGAAGAAGCTTCCTGGATGAGAAGCGAAAGGTCTTCAAGGAGAAACAAGACCGTCCAGATGTCCATCCATCCATCGCTTGGAAGCAGGAGACAAATCAGGATCCAGGGCGAAGTTTCTTAAGAGATGGAAGATGCGTGGACTTCAACTCCCAGAATTCCCCAGCCAGCATGGGAAGGGGCAGCTAATTCATCAGGACGTGGTGCCCCGGTGGGGGAGACCAGTGGCCTCCCCATCTCTTCGTTCTTGTTTGATGAAAGGTGTCATCTCTGTGGGGGTACACCAGGGGTCTTCAAACTTGGCCCTTTGATGACTGATGGACTTCAACTCCCAGAATTCCTCAGCCAGGCACTTCAAAGGGCCAAATTTGAAGAGTCCTGGTGTACACCTTGCTCTGTGAGATCCTTGATGATTGTTTTCTTGGGGATGGTTCTTGACCCAGCTAGATAACGTCATCAGTGCTAGAAGGGAATCCAAAGCGTAATGAAGGGAACCACCACCAAGAAGACTCCCACTGACACGGACAGGGCAAGCCACTTGTACAGTAGTGGCCAAAATTGTGGAAACCTTTTGGGAAAATGTACAGTAGAAATGCCCCCTTTGGTTAAGTTTCCACCCATTTTTCTTCTGATTTCTTTATAACTGTAGCCTTGTTCACTTAATAATATTATTTTACATCGCTTTCTGGGCGAGCGGTCAACTCTTTGCACCATGACTTTAATTTTATTACGTTTTACAAGCTCACTAAAGGAAAGAACACCAAAAAACCCAACCAATGGATAGTGATCACATAACACACTGACCAATGTCCTCCTCTCAGCTTCAATACAGGACGCCGATAACTGGATGCTACTGTGATCTGATTGGCTCATGGCCAAAACAAGATGAAACCCGATTGTCTCTCTAAACACTCGCGCTCATTGGCTACAATCCGATGAAGGAAAGCTACCTGAGATCAACCTAAGCGAATTGTGCTTCCTTTTTCTGGTTATTTGTCTATAACTTTTCATACAACGCAGTACAGATAATTGAACAAACCCTGTTGCATTACATTCTTGATTAAATTATCTTTCCATTGATATATAATTTTATGGTACTACTCCCAAAAAAGTGGTGTTATTAGCCATCTAACCTCAGAAATACACTTTTCCCAAAAGGTTTCCACAATTTTGGCCACGACTGTATATAAACAGAGCAAACCGTCCTTGTGGCACGGATGATGTTACCCAGGTGGGTCATGAAACGTCTGCAAGAAAAGACCAAACCCAGAGAGCATGAGAGACCCCACATTCCTCCTCCTCCTCCTTCTCCCCTCCTCCTTGCCACAAATCCCTCTTGTAGCACTGATGATGTTCCCTAGCTGGGTGATGAAACGTCTGCAAGAAAACAACTAAGCTCAGAGAGCATCAAGGACCCTGCATTATTATTATTCTTCTCTTCCTCCTCCTCCTCCTCCTCCCTCCTCCCTCCTCCTTGCCACAAATCCCTCTTGTAGCATTGATGATGTTCCCTAGCTGGGTGATGAAACATCTGCAAGAAAACAACTCAGCTCAGAGAGCATCAAGGACGCCGCATTATTCCTCCTCCTCCTCCTCCCTCCTCCCTGCTACAAATCCCTCTCTTGTAGCACTGATGATGTTCCCTAGCTGGGTGATGAAACGTCTGCAAGAAAACAGCTCAAGAGAGCATCAGGGACCCTGCATTCCTCCTCCTCCTCCTCCTCCTCCTCCTCCTCTCTGCAAACTCCACTCCCTTCTAGCACTGAAGAGGTTACCCAGTTGGGTCATGAAACGTCTGCAAGAAAACAGGCTCAAACAAGCTGGCTGGCAGAGGGAATTCTGGGAGTTGAAGTCCACCCCTCTACGAGCCCTCCAAGGTTAAGAAACACCCCGGCCTGCCTTTCTTTCCCTCACTCCCCATCCAGACGCTCCTTTCCTGCTTGGCCTCTGCAGTTTTTGCTCGCGCCCGCAGCCGCTTCCCACCCGTCTTTCTGTTTTCCAGATGAGCGTCGGGCAGAGGGCCAAGCTGACCATCTCTCCAGACTACGCTTACGGGGCGGCCGGCCACCCGGGCATCATCCCCTCCAACGCCACCCTCATTTTTGACGTGGAGCTCCTAAAGTTGGAATGACAAACGAGGGCAACCCCCTCCTCGCCCTCCCACTTCCCTGCTCTGGGGTAGGTGACTCTTCCGGCAACAGCCCGGGTGGGTCCTCGCCAAATTGGGCATCGGAGGGGTGGGTGGGCGCTGATGGGGGCAAGGAGGAGGCCCTTTTGGGAGGGCTTTGGGGGGGGGTGTCTGTCAGCTTGATGTGTACCGAGAGAGAAGAGAATATTGGCAGCTCAGGGTTGAACTGGGGTGGGGGGTGGGGGTCCCGGGCGCCCTCTGAGCTGGGTGGTTTTCTGGCTGACGTTTCATGACCTGTTTCATGATCATCGGGGCTAGAAGGGAAGGGGGCTTACGGGCTCCAGAAGGAGGAAGGTGGGGGGAGGAGGACTCTTGAGGTCCTTCGTGCTCTGTGAGCTTACAGTGTTTGTGTTTTAGAACAGAATAAACAGACATGTGTCAAACCCGCCGATGCCATGTGACGTCGTGTGACATATCAGAACTTTTTCCCCTTTGCCAGGAATGGGGTCGGCACGGTTTCCTCGTGATGCGTCCGGCCCGTGGGCTGGCAGTATAGAATAGAAATAGAAATAATAGAAATAGAAATACAGCTGGAAGGGACCTTGGAGGTCTTCTAGTCCAACCCTCTGCTCAAGCAGGAGAATAGAATATAAGAATAGAATAGAATAGAATAGTAGAATAGAATAGAATAGAATAGAATAGAATAGAATAGAATAGAATTATGGGTTAGACTAGAATAGAGTAGAATAGAATAGAATAGAATAGAATAAGGGACAGAATAGAATAGAATAGAATAGAATAGAATAGAATAGAATAGAATAGAATAGAATAGAATAAGGGACAGAATAGAATAGAATAGAATAGAATAGAATAGAATAGAATGGAACTTAGAGGTCTTCTAGTCCAGCCCCCTGCTCAAGCAGGAGAAGCTACACCATCTCAGACAAGTGACTGTCTAGTCTCTTCTTGAAAATCTCCAGGGATGGAGCGCCCACGATTTCTGGTGGCAAGCTGTTCCACTGGTTAATTGTCCTGACGGTCAGGAAGTTTCTCCTTAATTCCAGGTTGCTTCTCTCTTTGATCAGGACCCAACTAGGTAACATCTTCAGTGCTAGAAGAGAGTGGGGGCTGCTCGCTGTTTCTATACAAGTGTGGCTTGCCGTGTTCGTGGGAGGGTTTGTGGCGTTCCCTTGATTAGGCTTTTAATTGCCTTCTAGCACTGATGATGTTCCCTAGCTGGGTGATGAAACGTCTGCAAGAAAGCCACCCAGCTCAGAGAGCATCAAGGACCCCACAGTCGTCGTTGTCCTCCTCCTCCTCCTCCTCCTCCTCCTCCTCCTCCTCCTCCTCCTCCTCCTCCTCCTCCCACTGACAACATTACCTAGCTGGGTCATGAGACGTCTGCCAGAAAACCACCCAGCACAGAGAACGTTAAATCACGGCGTGCACGGCCCCCAAGAGACCCATTTTGTCAGACTCCCTCCCAGGAGATGGGGAGGCCGGGCCTCTGCCCGCCGCTGGTCTGTCGTGGCAACCCCGGGGGCACTGGGCCCGGGTGAACTCGCCACCCTCTCCCTGTCCCCCTCCGCAGGGCTGCCTCCAACACACGTGCTCTATTTTTTTTTGTCTCTGCAGGTTTTGGCCCCCACAGAGAACCCCAGAGGTCTTTGCTTGGAGATCAACGCACACCAATTTGTATGGAGCTTTCCCGGCTACCCACCACTCTCTCGGTGTCACCCTCCACCCCGGTCTGAATGTTTTTGAGCCGCTTCCGGTTTCGCTTCCTGGTTTCCCTCGTCGACATTTTTGAACTCGGTGCCAGTTTGGGAGTGGGGTGGGGTCCACAAACACGGCCCCTTTAAGAGTAGTTGGACTTCGACGCCCAGAATTCCTCATCCAGCAATGCTGGCTGAGGAATTCTGGGCGTCGAAGTCCAACTACTCTTAAAGGGGCCGTGTTTGTGGACCTCCCTTCTCTGTGCTATTAAGCAGCTATTTTTTTTTGGGTGCAGAGGGTTGTGGGGTGGGAAGGCGGGGGGGGGGACGACAATCAGGTCCTTTCATCTTATTTCGTTGAGGGTTTTGGGGGGTGTGTGTCGGCTTGAGTTGCGTTACGATTCCGGCTTTTGAGTCGGTATCTCAAATGATTCTGTAAACAAAATCCCTTGGGGTGTGTTTGCTTTTTGGAAGGATCGCCGTTGGAATTGGAATCCGTTGGCTGTTTGGAATGCCTGCCAGTCCCCTGTTGGAGGGGCTTCAGAGGGGGGGGTCCCCCTCCCCATCAGCCCTAGTAGACATCCGAGAGTCGTCCTCTGCCCCCCCCCCAACCCACCCACCCCCAACTTGCTTTCGGTGGCTCTTCCCTCTTTTCCGCGGGCTTTTAATTTGATTTTACCGGAGTTGGTTTTCTTTTTTTCCTTTTGAACTTCGAGCGGGAAACTCAACTCCTGCTGCTTGTCGTCAAGTGAGGAGGGGGGAACATCAGCCCCCTCCCCACTCACCCACCCACTCACCCACCCACCCACCCACGCCAAAACGCCTGTGAAGTTCTCTATGGAAAAGTGATGCTGGTCGTCTACCGCTTTTTTTGCCATCCCCGTACCATCCCTTCTTTCGGCGGTCCCCTTCCCCCCCCCTCCCAGCCCCCCCCCCTTTTGCCCCCTCCCCACCATCGTATCTTTCGGTAAGAGAATTGCCACCCCCACCTTCTTTCCACCTCCTGCCATCCTCTTCTTCTTCATCATCATCATCATCATGTGAGCGTATAGAGTTTTATTACTGCAATAAAAATGCTTTATGCTGGCTTTTCTCAAACCCGCTTCTAAGAGTGACTGGTTTTGCTTTTTTTTTTTTTTTTTGGTATGGATCGTCCTTGACTTACGGCCCCAATCAAGGCCCGTTTCTCCGTTGCTACCACGAAACCGAAGAGCTTGGCCCCATTTTACGACTAATAATATTTTAATATTTATGAATATTAATATTTATTTTAAAAAGTGATTGATATTTATATGTTGCTTATGTGTAAGGGTGTAGGTCTATACCAGGGGTAGGCAACCTCGGCTCTTTTACGGCTCGTGGAGTTCAACTCCCAGAATTCCTGAGCCAGCCACGCTGAGAGGAAAGGGAGAGGTTTCCAAGCTGAGCCAGGCTGGCTCAGGAATTCTGGGAGTTGAAGCCCACCAGTCATGAGGGGGCCATAGTTCCCTCACGCTGGCTCAGGAATTCTGGGAGTTGAAGTCCATGAACCATGAGGGGGCCATAGTTCCCCCATGCTGGCTCAGGAATTCTGGGAGTTGAAGTCCACGAGTCTTAAAAGGGCCAAGTTTGAAGGCCCCTGGTTTAAATATTTAAATATTTTTTCCTCACGGTCACGTGATCAAAATTCAGGCATTTGGGCAGAAGTAGGCAACCATGGCTCTTTTATGACTCGTGGACTTCAACTCCCAGAATTCCTGAGCCAGCATGGGGGAACTATGGCCCCCTCATGATTCGTGGACTTCAACTCCCAGAATTCCTGAGCCAGCATGGGGGAACTATGGCCCCCTCATGACTGGTGGACTTCAACTCCCAGAATTCCTGAGCCAGCTTGGAAACCTCTCCCTTTCCCCTCAGCATGGCTGGCTGAGGAATTCTGGGAGTTGAAGTCCACGAGTCATAAAAGAGCCACGGTTGTATATAATATGTTTTAAATGTGTGTTATATATGTGCACACTTTGAGAGCAAGCAACTAAATTTCATTTTTAATTTGTGCCGTTGTGCCCACAGGAAAAAAATGACAATAAAGTTTATCTAATCTAATCTAACATAATCTAATCTAAAATAGTAACTTCATTGTCACTTTGAATGCACACTAATCGGCATACATTAAAATGAAATTTCGTGGCGTACAACTCTCAAAGGGCCACCACCTCCAATATACACTACATAAATATGACAAAAATAAATAAATTACAGAATTATGCACATACCCACATACCGTATATGACACAGATCAAGGCCACAGTTGTAAAACGAATCACTGTAGTTGCTTAATAACCCGGTTGTTAAATGAATCCAGCTTTCCCTATTGACTCTGCTTATCAGAAGGTTGCAAAAGGAGGTCAAGTCACCCCCCCCGAGACAGTGCGACCATCATAAGTCTGAGCCAGTCGCCAAGTAACTGAATTTTGATCACGTGACCTGGCCTGGGGGATGCGGCAGTGGTCGTAAGTGTGGAAAAACGATCGTAACTCATCTTTCCCAGTGCCGTAACTTGGACCGGTCACTAAATGAATGGCTGTAACTCAAATTGTGGATGCTTCCATCACTGTCGAGGCTTTGAAGAAGAGACTGGACAGCCATTTGTCTGAAATGGTCTGGGGTTTCCTGCTCGAGCAGGGGGCTGGACTAGATGACCTCCGAGGTCCCTTCTAACTCTTTTATTATTTTACATTCTAAAGAGTATCTGAATTTCCATTTGGTTGCATTTCCTCTGAAAACTGCTCTGGAATCATGGCGGAATCCTGCCCTTTTCGTTAATGAAACTCAGCGTGTGCGCGCACACACACAAATACACAAACACACACACACAGTTGTCCCTTCCAGCTGCTGTTCTTGCAAGTTAAAATTCCTGGAAAAGCAGCTTGTTTACCATTGACTGACCTTGCGTCTGCTACCGGTAGGAGAGAGGTCAGCCGTTATCTCGGGCTGTTTGGAGCTGGCTTGTCCCCAAGGAGCGTCCCTGGGCAGCACCCCCTCCCTGCCCTGGCAGTCAGGCCTAGGTGCCCAGCCTGGGGCCTTCCTTGCACCCATCTTTCCTGCACGTTGTCTGGGTCACTGCAGTGTTAACGAGAACAATCCAGAAAGCAGAATCCAACCTATTGCAAGGGGAAGCCACAGCCACTGGATTTTTTTTTTTGCCCCCCCCCCCCCCCGAGATATCAGCCCTGATCTAATTTCCTGCCTGAGCAGGGGGTTGGACTAGAAGACCTCCAAGGTCCCTTCCAACTCTTATTCTATTCTATTCCATTCCATATCATATTTTCTATTCCATTCCATTCCATATTTTCTATTCTATTCCATTCCATTCCATATTTTCTATTCCATTCCATTCCATATTTTCTATTCCATTCCATATTTTCTATTCCATTCCATTCCATATTTTCTATTCCATTCCATTCCATATTTTCTATTCCATTCCATTCCATTCCATATATTCTATTCCATTCCATTCCATATTTTCTATTCTACTCTACTCTACTCTACTCTACTCTACTGTTTATTCTATCCCATCCCATCCTATCCTTATTCCATCCTATCCTTATTCCATTCTATTCTATTCTATTGACTAGGAGTGATCTGATAGCAGTCTTCCGATATTTGAGGGGCTGCTACAAAAAAGACGGGGTCAACCTATTCTCCAGAGCATCTTTAAGGAAGTTCAGAAAGCAACTTAAACAGGAGCCAGCAGTGTGCTGCAGCTGCCAAAAAAGCCCACACAGTGCTAGGCTGCATTAACAGGGATAGAATCAAGATCACGTGAAGTATTAATACCACTCTTCAATGCCTTGGTAAGGTCACACTTGGAATCTGGCATCCAGTTTTGGTCACCACAAAGTAAAAAAGATGTTGAGACTCTAGAAAGAGTACAGAGAAGAGCAACAAAGATGATTAGGGGACTGGAGGCTAAAACATAAGGAACGGTTGCTAGAATTGGGTATGTCTAGTTTAACGAAGAGAAGGACAAGGGGGGACATGATAGCAGTATTCCAATATCTCGGGCTGCCATAAAGAAGAGGGAATCAAGCTATTTTCCAAAGCACCTGAAGGCAGGACAAGAAGCAACGGGTGGAAACTAATCAAGGAGAGAAGCAACCTAGAACTAAGGAGAAACTTCCTTACAGTGAGAACAATTAATCAGTGGAACAGCCTGCCTCCAGAAGCAGTAAATGCTCCAACACTGGAAATTTTTAAGAAGAGACTGGGCAGCCATTTGTCCGAAATGGTGTAGGGTTTCCTGCCTGAGCAGGGGTTTGGACTAGATGACCTCCAAGGTCCCTTCCAACTTTACTACTATTACTAACAGAGGGACAAAATCAAGATCACGTGAAGCGTTGATACCACTTTGTGTCGTGGAAAAAACCAATGAAAAAGACGAGACAGCAACACAATAACAATAATAATTCTTACTCTAGGATTCAGAGGTTTATTTTGCTAATAATTTGGAACATAGCACAGTAACATAACACTACTTATTAATAACCCATTGCAATGAGGACCAAATGGTATAGCAGAGACCAAAAGGACAGCTGTAGGCCAATGGCAAATCAATCCGGTCCAGTCCCAACTTTTTATACTCTTTCTCGTTTTAAAACTCTAGTCAGATCATTTGCTGACTTTTTACTGACCTGCTAACCTGCTAAACATAATTTTCCACATATACCTGTGTACATCGGAACCCACATCCATCAGCTACTTTCAGTTCCCCATTTTTTTTCTTTTTTTTAGTTTCTTTTTTTAATTTTATTTTTAACCAACAAAGCAAAACATAACACACATACACACACAGTATATACTCCTCAACCCCCTTTTTAACAGTGATTACGTAACGGTAATCTTTTATTCAGTTCCCCATTTCTTAACGATTACAATACCCATGTTCCAAATATACACAGAACTACCTCCTTTGCAATTTCATATTGCGCAAAGCTCAGCAGATTACAAATTGGACATCCTTATTGGGAAACAGCATAAAGTTCAAGTTAAAGCTTTGTTTCAAATCCCTACTGTGGGGCCTACCTCCAGTTTGCTTCAGCCTCATCTTGTTATATGAGGAGGGGGCTATATTTTCATCTCCCACACCTTGGTAAGGCCACACCTGGAATTCTGCATCCAGTTTTGGTCACCACGACGTAAAAAAGATGCTGAGACTCTAGAAAGAGTACAGAGAAGAGCAACAAAGATGATGAGGGGACTGGAGGCTAAAACATACAAAGAATGGTTGCTGGAATTGGGTCTGTCTAGTTTAATGAAGAGAAGGACAAGGGGGGACATGATAGCAACCTTCCAGTATCTCAGGGGCTGCCCCAAAAAAGAGGGAGTCAAGCTGTTCTCCAAAGCACCAGAAGGCAGGACAAGAAGCAACGGATGGAAACTAACCAAGGAGAGAAGCAACCTAGAACTAAGGAGAAACTTCCTGACAGTGAGAACAATTAACCAGTGGAACAGCTGGCATCTAGAATTTGTGGGTTCACTGGACGCTTTGAGAAGAGATTGGACAGCCACTGGTTTGAAATGGAATAGGGCCTCCTGCTTGAGCAGAGGGTTGGACTAGAAGACCTCCAAGGTCCCTTCCAACTCTATTCTGCTAAGAATGTCTGGAGCCTCCTTAGAAAATTGAAACGCTGGGCTGAAGGTTCAGGGAAGTGTTCCCACCAATCCAGGTAATGACAAGGAGAATAGATAAAAGGTGGGAGGGGAGAAGGTAGGAAGAGATAGGTTTGTTTCCCCCCCCTCTTCTCTCCCTCCCCCCGCACCAGCAGTAGCTTCAAATGTGGAGTTTTTTGTGGTCTCTAAGCTTTGTGCTTTTCTTGCAGACGTTTCATGACCAAACTAGGTAACTGTCAGCTGAATTTTGCTGCAAAGTGTCCCACCTTTGCCCACCAGGTGGCGATGTAGGTTTGCATCTATTGCCACCTCTGGGGAAATGCAAATATTTTCAATTTGCTTCAAGTTCCCTGGATATCCTGGAAAATCGGGAACGTGACTCAGCTTCTAAGTGTCAGCTTCTACGTTCTTCTCTGCATTAATTGGATTTTCAGCAAAAGAGTTTCCTGCCGATGTTAGACACTGAAAAGCAACAAAGATGATCAGGGGACCGGAGGCTAAAACATATGAAGAACACGGTTGCTGGAATTGGGTATGTCTCGTTAATGAAGAGAAGGACGAGGGGGGACAGGATAGCTGTGTTCCAGTATCTCAGGGGCTGCCCCAAAGAAGAGGGGGTCAAGCTCTTCTCCAAAGCACCAGAGGGCAGGAGAAGAAGCAACGGATGGAAACTAACCAAGGAGAGAAGCAACCTAGAACCGAGGAGAAACTTCCTAACAGTGGGGACAATTAACCAGTGGAACTGCTTGCCACCAGAAGTTATTTGGTGCTTCATCAGTGGAGTTTTTTTCAAGAAAAAACTGGACAACCATTTGTCTGAAGGGACATAGGGCACTAACTAACAAAATGAAATTCAATGGTGAAAAAAGCAAGGTTCTACATTTAGGCAAGAAAAACCAAATGCACAAGTACAGCATAGGTGGCACCATGCTCAATAGTAGTAACTGTGAGAGGGACCTCGGAGTCCTAGTAGACAATCACTTAAATATGAGCCAGCAGTGTGCGGCAGCTGCCAAAAAGGCCAACACAGTGCTAGGCTGCATTAACAGAGGGATAGAATCAAGATCACGTGAAGTATTAATACCACTCTTCAATGCCTTGGTAAGGCCACACTTGGAATACTGCATCCAGTTTTGGTCACCACGATGTAAAAAAGATGTTGAGACTCTAGAAAGAGTACAGAGAAGAGCAACAAAGATGATTAGGGGACTGGAGGCTAAAACATATAAGGAACGGTTGCTAGAATTGGGTATGTCTAGTTTAACGAAGAGAAGGACAAGGGGGGACATGATAGCAGTATTCCAATATCTCAGGGGCTGCCATAAAGAAGAGGGAATTAAGCTATTTTCCAAAGCACCTGAAGGCAGGACAAGAAGCAACGGGTGGAAACTAATCAAGGAGAGAAGCAACCTAGAACTAAGGAGAAACTTCCTGACAGTGAGAACAATTAATCAGTGGAACAGCTTGCCTCCAGAAGCAGTAAATGCTCCAACACTGGAAGTTTTTAAGAAGAGACTGGACAGCCATTTGTCCGAAATGGTGTAGGGTTTCCTGCCCGAGCAGGGGGTTGGACTAGATGACCTCCAAGGTCCCTTCCAACTTTACTATTATTATTATTATTATTATAGTGATGGCGAACCTTTTAGAGACCGAGTGCCCAAACTGCAACCCAAAGCCCACTTATGCATCGTCGGGTGCCGGGTGGGTGTGGCCATTGGGTGGGCATGGCTCACTGGGTGGGCGTGGCTGCGGTGGTAATGGCAGACTGGGTGGGACTAAAAAGTTCAATCAATCAAGTCCAACTTGGAGAGATCTTTTTTTTTCCCGCGAGAAGTTGAAATTGACTGATTGATTGAACCTTTTTTTTTTTTTTTGCACACGGCGGTGGAGGCCTAAAGCGAAAAGGTTTTATAAAACCCAGCTGAAGGCCCAGGACTGGGGCGACGGCGTGCCTGCCCACAGAGAGGGCTCTGAGTGCCGCCTTTGGCACCCGTGCCATAGGTTCGCCACCACTGATATAGGGTCTCCTGCCTGAGCAGGGGGTTGGACTAGAAGACCTCCAAGGTCCCTTCCAATTCTATATCCTGTTATCCACTGTCTCCATCAAGGTCAATAGCGTTTAGGGGTCAAGATGTCTGCTCTGTCCCCACTTCCCCACTTTTCTGGATCTGCCCCATGAACTGTAGGGGTTGCCAGAACCAAAGCACCCGCTTGCCGGACTCCCAATTTGGTGATTCTGTTATACGCTATCAGACCTGCCTGCAAAATTGATGTCAGCCTTTCCAGGTTTCCTATCTGGTTTGGTAGGAGAAGACTGACAGAACCTGAATGATCAGGTTGTCATGAGGATCCAGAAGGCTCTGCGCCTTTCAATCCCTCAAGGTGTGGGAGCATTAACCGGAAATTGCTTTAATACCAGCCGGTGATGTGACGGTTCTGGAATCTAAGTCTGCCACTGGGCCATGATTTGGGCCAGGCTGTGGGGCAGTGCCCACAGGAAGAAGGATGGCGAGGCAGTTGGGCTGGACAGGGAGAGCCCTTCAATAGAAGCAGCTGAACGAGCAAGCTCAAAATCTGGGGTACGGAAAGTTCTGCACTTTCTTGAGGTACAGCTCCTTTGCAAGCCTTCGGATTTGTAGCTGGAGTTTTAGCTACTAGTTATATTATAAAGAGGCCCTGCAGAAATCGCCTTGCCTGGGCGCATCTGGGTAGTTTGCCTATAACAGTGTTTCTCAACCTCAGTGACTTTAAGTTCAGTGGGCTTCAATTCCCAGAATCCCCCAGCCAGCGTGTTGGCTGGGGAATTCTGGGAGTCAAAGTCCATCCAACTTCAAGCATGTTGGTGGGGGATTCTGGGAGTTGAAATCCTCATATGTTAAAGCATGCTGGCTGGGGAATTCTGGGAGTTGAAGTCCACCCATCTTAAAGCCTGCTGGCTGGGGCATTCTGGGAGTTGAAGTGCACCCCTTTTAAAGCCTGCTGGCTGGGGAATTCTGGGAGTTGAAGTCCACCCATCTTAAAGCCTACTGGCTGGGGAATTCTGGGAGTCAAAGTCCATCCAACTTCAAGCATGGTGGGGGATTCTGGGAGTTGAAATCCTCCCATGTTAAAGCATGCTGGCTGGGGAATTCTGGGAGTTGAAGTCCACCCATCTTAAAGCCTGCTGGCTGGGGCATTCTGGGAGTTGAAGTGCACCCCTTTTAAAGCCTGCTGGCTGGGGAATTCTGGGAGTTGAAGTCCACCCATCTTAAAGCCTGCTGGCTGGGGAATTCTGGGAGTTGAATTCCACCCCTTTTAAATCCCACTGGCTGGGGAATTCTGGGAGTTGAAGTCCACCCCTTTTAAAGCCTGCTGGCTGGGGAATTCTGGGAGTTGAAATCCTCCCATGTTAAAGCATGCTGGCTGGGGAATTCTGGGAGTTGAAGTCCACCCGTCTTAAAGCAAACTGGCTGGGGAATTCTGGGAGTTGAAGTCCACCCCTTTTAAAGCCTGCTGGCTGGGGAATTCTGGGAGTTGAAGTCCATCCATCTTCAAGCATGCTGACTGGGGGATTCTGGGAGTTGAAGCCCACCCCTCTTAAAGTTGCTAAGGCTGAGAACAAAAAGGGGGTTAGAGCAAAACCCTTTGCCTACTCCAAGGTCACCTGGAAATTGGGGCTGTTTGGCACCTACGCATCGGTTTTCATCACCCAGAAGATCAGAAACCGCCCAGGTGTGGAAGGAACAAACCCCAGTCAGCTTCTTTCCCTGAAGTCAGCCAGGTAGCCTCACCTGGTTCTTTCGCCACCTAGCTTAGTTTCGCTCCCAGTCAGCTGATTTCTCCTCCTCCTCTCCCAGCCTCTCTTATCACCTGCAGGAAGGCTGGCAGGACTGAAGCCAGGAGCGGCATTCTCACCTGAGGAGTCTGACAGGTAAGGCACCTGGCTTGGCATCAGTGGGATCCGGCTCTTCTTGGGGGCATCCTTCTTCCTTCTCCTCCTCCAAACGGCTTCCTCCAACCGGGTTGTAGGTGCCACGTACCTGTGCAGGTAAATGGAAAACACTGGCTTGGTTGGGGGAAGTGTAAGCTTAATGTTGGAGGAACCAGGAGAATAGTATTGGATTTTTGTAGTTTTTTATTGATATAGTTTTAACTTTGTTGTATGGAACCACCTGCCTCCAGAGGCGGTGAATGCTCCAACACTGAAAATATTTAAAAAGAGACTGGACAGCCATTTTTCTGAAATGGTGTAGGGTTTCCTGCCTGAGCAGGGGGTTGGACTAGATGACCTCCAAGGTCCCGTCCAAATTTATTATTATTATTATTATTATTATTATTATTATTATTATTATTACTATGGATCATCGCACAGTCAGCCAGATGTTCAGACTGGATTTGGCATTTTGTCTACCTATCAAGTCCTTACCCAGGACCTGGGATAGGCAGATGTGGATGTTTGATGGTATTACAGATATCGTCGCAGGATGGAAGCGGTTCCTAATAAGGCCGCCTTTTGCAATTAACTAATAGCAAATTTGTCAATGCCAATGATGGTGTTCAAGTGGTGCTCCAGTTGTTTTGGGATTGCACCCAAGGAGCCTATGACTATTGGTACTACCCTTGCTTGCTTTTGCCACAGTCTTTCTATTTCTATTTGTAGGTCTTTGTATTTTGTGATCTTCTCCAGCGCTTTCTCTTCTATTCTGCTGTCTCCAGGCACTGCCACATCCACTATCCAGACTTTTTTGTCTTTCTTATCGACAATTGTTAAGTCTGGAGTGTTATTATTATTATTATGGGATTGGAGGCTAAAACATATAATGAATAATTGCAGGAATTGGGTATTTGTAGTTTAAGAGAAGGAACAGGGAGTGACATAACAGTCTTCTAGTATTTGAGGGGCTGCAACAAAGAAGGGGGGGGTCCACTTATTCTCCAAGGCGCCTGAAGGCAGGAGAAGAAGCAACGGATGGAAACTCATCAAGGAGAGGAGCAACCTAGAATTAAGGAGAAACTTCCTGAGAATTATAACAATTAACCAGTGGAACAACCTGCCACCAGAGGTGGTGAATGCTCCAACACTGAAAATTTTTAAGAAGAGACTGGACAGCCATTTTTCTGAAATGGTATAGGGTTTCCTGCCTGAGCAGGGGGTTGGACTAGATAACCTCCAAAGTCCCTTCCAATTCTGTTATTGTTATTATTATATTGTAAGCTACCAGAGTTACCCTCTGATAAGATGGTGACCATTAGTAGATAGATAGATATATAGATAGATGGATAGATGAATAGACAAATATGGATAATTTAGATAATAGATGGATAGATTGATAGATAGATATGGATAGATATAGATAGATCAGGGGTAGTCAACCTTTTTATACCTACCGCCCACTTTTGTATCTCTGTTAGTAGTAAAATTTTCTAACCGCCCACCGGTTCCATAGTAATGGTGATTTATAAAGTAGGGAAGTAACTTTACTTTATAAAATTTATAAAGCAGAGTTACAGCAAGTTAAAGCATATAATAATAATTACTTACCAAATACTTTATGTTGGACTTTCGCTAAGTTTGGCAGAATAAATCTTTATAAAACAACTTACTGTAGTTAAATCTATCTTTTTATTTATACTTTGCCTACCCAGAAACATAAAGTCTGATGAAATTACATTTAATTAATTAAATTATTAATGAGATCTCTGAGGCTGATGCTGCGAAACTAAATGCTGGATATCTGGCTCAATTTTTGTAAGGAACAAACGAAGGTCTCCTCTTTCGGAAATATTCAGGCAGTTTCTTTCTTTGGTCATAATATGATTAACAGCACTAAAGCCTGATTCCACAAGATATGAGGTAGAGAAAGGTATCAATAAACTGAATATCATTTTCCACATATTTGGATATAAGACAGGCATTTTTTTTACTTTGCCATAGGTTTTCATATCAAATTTATGTTTACTTTCTTCATCATATCTAATTTCTAACAGTTCTTCTTGGCAAGTTGTATCAGCCTCTTCAATATTTGCAGTAAAAGGATTTTTCATCCAATCATACACCTTCAATTTCAAAATATCTTGAAATCGTTTTTACATGTCCAATTTAAGTTCGTTGAGATGGCTACTGATTCTGTCAATATCCTCTGGAGTTACATCATCTTTTATAGATGATAATTCAGGATGATGAAATTCTCTCTTCAATAGATTATGACGAAATAGTTCAAGTTTGTCAATAAATAATGACACAATACTTTGGCAACCTATAAGAGTTTTATTAGCTCCTTGAAGCTGCAAATTGACATCATGAAATCTTTTGAAAATATTTGCCAAATAAAAGGCATCATTCTTTACTGTTTTTAACTGTTGACACAAATTGGTCTCATTATTACTTTCAAAAAATTGTATGACACTATCATATAATGCTACAAAACGAGCCAAAGATGTACCCTTTGACAGCCACCGAACTTCTGTGTAATAAAATCTTCATTGTTGTCCTGGCAAAGCTGTCCAAACATTCTATCATTTTTTGAATTGGATTTGATCTTGTTTATGGCTCGAATTATTATAGTTAATGATGAATGGAGACTTGTACTTAGATGTTTTCCTACAAGATGTTGTCTGTGCACCACACAATGAATACATAAAACATTTGGCATTTATTCCTTCAAATAAGCAACAAATCCACAATAGTGGCCTACCATTGATGGTGCTCCATCAGTAGCGCATGCAACAATATTATTCAAAGGAATATTATTTTTTCTAAAGTATGATTTCACAGTATTAAAAATAGATAATCCTCTTGTATCTGTAATGAGATTTATTGCGAATAGCATTTCTTCTCGTAATGTATTGTTTTCATCAAAATAACATACATATGCCATCAATAAAGCATTATTATCTGCAATGGTAGACTCGTCCAATTGCATGGAAAATGAAGAGTTTTGGAGAATACTTAATCAGTTTTTTTCAACATTAACTGCCATTTCTTCAATTTGTTGCTTTACCGTGCTATCGCTTAGGGGCAACGTATTTAAAATTTCAGGTATATCCTGATGCATTACTGTTGAGATAAATTCTTTTATAGAGGGTATTATTACAGTTTCTCCAATATTATAGCTTTTACCACTTTTTGCAATTAATTGTGAAATGCGATAAGCGGCAATTAATCCATCTTCCTTTGCTGCATGTTGTTTCTTAAATGATGCAACGATTGTTGAATGATTTTGAAATTTTTTATATATTTCCTGAAAATATTCAATGGGCTTGTCCTTATCATTTGGATGCTTTGTAGAAGGATGTTCTCGCAATCGACTTGGCTTCATTGCCTCATTGGATAATGTTTTATGACACAATAAACACATTGGACGTTGTTTATTTTCAACAGATCCTATGAAACCCATCTTCAGATACTCTGGCAAATAGCCATGAGCGTATTTCTTTTTTTGAGACATGGACTCACAATATTTTGTTTGAAGCTGTAGGCACGTGCTCACTCTCACAAATCTAACTCTGTACTGACCAATGCAACCACAAACAGAAGAGCCTGTGCCATGTATCGTCGTCTGCGCATGCCTCTCGCGCATCGTGGATTGGGTTTAGGGGGGCACCGGCTACCAGCTCTGCTTGTCTGTTACAGCTGGGTGGTGTGGGGGGAGATGCGCAAGCTATTCTGAAATGAGGCTCTTTTGTTTGCGGTTGCACTATAGCGCCATTTAGTTTCACTTATGTAACGTGAACTAAACTTATGCGTGGGCGATACAAATAATATATTTTCAGAAATTTAAATTGTCACGGCGAATTTTATGAAAACCTAATGAAAATGTTTTTAAATAATGCTGTGAATTTTTTAAAAAAAGTCAATTAAATTAAAAAAAAGAAAAGTGTTTCAGTATCGGACAAAACCCCTACCTCCCACCATGAAAGCTGGAACGCCCACTAATGGGCAGTAGGGACCAGGTTGACTACCATTGCGATAGATGATGAATAGATGGATGATAGATGGATGGATGGATAGTTGAATGGATAGATGAATGGATAGATGGATGAATAGATGAATGAATGGATGGATGGATGGATGGACAGATGGATGAATAGATGAATGGATAGATGAATAGATAGGTGAATAGATACAGATAATAGATGGATAGATTGATAGATAGCTAGATATGGATAAATATAGATAGATGATGAATGGATGGAGATAGATAGATAGATAGATAGATAGATAGATAGATAGATAGATAGATAGATAGATAGATAGATAGATAGATAGATAAAAAAATAGCGTCTCCTCTCTCCAGGTGCTTCCACTGGGGAGAAAACTGAATGGACGCTTTGCTGGCTGGAGAATTCTGGGAGTTGAAGTCCACCCATCTTAAAATGGAAAAGTTTGAGAAACACCAGGCCGCCATATTCTCATTTCAGAGATTCCAGGATCCCTTTAATGCCAGTCAGAATGGGATTTAAACCTGGGTTTCTCATACAGCTAGACCCTGACTTACAACAGTTCATTTAGTGACTGTTCTAACTTACAATGGCACTGAAAAAAAGTGACTTGTGACTGTTTTTCACACTTACGACCTTTGCAGCATCCTCCAGGGCAGTGGTTCTCAACCTTTTTAATGCCGCAACCCCCAACTGGTCATAAGTCAAGGACTACTCAACCGGTCGTAAGTCGAGGACTGCTCAACTGGTGCAGCACCGTTTGCAGAATGGGACTTTTGGCGGGCTCAGCAGGGCAGAGACAGCCTGGACAATTCCCATTGGCTTTTGAAAGCCAATAGAATTAGACTCTATTCAAGAGAGTCTATTCTATTGGCTTTCGAAAGCCAATAGAATAAAAGGGAGTAGCACAGCTGAGGAAAAGGGGGGAAAAAATGGCGGACTGCGTTGTTTGGCGACCCCCGTGAAAGGGTCGTTCGACCCCAAATGGGGTCCTGACCCACAGGTTGAGAACCACTGCTCCAGGGTCATGTGATTGAAATTCAGACGCTTGGCAACTGACTTGTACTTAACGACGGTTGCAGCGTCCCCAGGGGTCACGCGATCCCCTTTTTACGACCTTCTGACAAGCCACGTCAGTGGGGGAAGCCGGATTCACTTAACAACCAGGTGATTAACTTACCAACGGCAGTGATTCACTTAACAACTGAGGCAAGAAAGGTCGTAAAATGGGGCAAAAACTCACTTAACCCGTGTCTCGCTTAGCAACAGGAATTTTGGGCTCAGCTGTGTTCATAAATTGAGGACTAAATGTTCGTAAATCGAGGACTAAGTGTTCCAATTTCTAGCAAAATTCGTGGTTCCTGAGGGCCTTTTGTGTGTCTCCTTTGTGTCTCCTTCCACTCACAATTTTTTTCCCCGCTGCCTAACTATTCCATGTTGCTTTGACTTTTGTGGCAAAGCCTCATAGCCCCCCCCCCGAAATGTTGGATTCTCATTCCCATCATCCACAGCCAACCATGCACTGGAAAGGAATCCTTTCTTGGGTTTCTATGGCCAATATGGGCCCTCTCAGAAAGTAGTTGAACTCGAATCCAGGTTTCTGCAGCTTTGCTTCAAAATCCCGGCTTATTTTTCCATTCGCGCAATATGGAAAGGAGACACAGCGAGAGAGATATCCAGTTTTATGTTCCAGCCTACTGAAGTGACTAATCCTTTCCTTTGAGCAACCTGGCGGGGCTGGTTTTGTGAAACTGGAAATCCTCTTTTAGGGACGGAGGAATTTCAACACTCAAAAGCACGGGCGAAGTAAGAATTCATTCTCCGAAGCGCCTGAAGGCAGGATGAGAAGCGACGGATGGAAACTCACCAAGGAGAGAAGCAACCTGGAATTAAGGAGGAATTTCCTGACAGTGAGAACAATTAACCAGTGGAACAGCCTGCCTCCAGAAGCGGTGAATGCTCCAACAATGGAAGTTTTTAAGAAGAGACTGGACAGCCATTTGTCCGAAATGGTATAGGGTTTCCTGCCTGAGCAGGGGGTTGGACTAGATGACATTCAAGGTCCCTTCCAACTCTATTCAGATTAAATGATTGATTCGGAAGATGCATATACGATAGCAGTATTACAATATTTGAGAAGCTGCCCCAGAGAAGGGGGAGTGGGTTCCACCAATTAAGGAGGTTTTTAAGAAAAGAATAGACAGTCACTTGCCTGAAATGTTATAAGATCTCCTGCTTGAGCAGGGGGTTGGACTAGAAGACCTCCAAGGTCCCTTCCAGCTTTCTATTCTATTCTATTCTATTCTATTCTATTCTATTCTATTCTATTCTATTCTATTCTATTCTATTCTGTATTTCTTTTCTATTCTATTCTGTATTTCCTCTTCTCTTCTTCTCTTCTATTCTACAATCTGTTCTATTCTATTCTATTCTATTCTATTCTATTCTATTCTATTCTATTCTATTCTATTCTATTCTATTCTATTCTTTCTATTCTCTATTCTATTCTATTCTTTCTATTCTATTTCTATTCTATATTCTATTCTATTCTATTCTATTCTATTCTATTCTATTCTATTCTATTCTATTCTATTCTATTCTATTCTATTCTATTCTCTATTCTATTTTTCTATTCTAATTCTATTCTATTCTATTCTATTCCTATTCTATTCTATTCTATTCTATTCTATTCTATTCTATTCTATTCTATTCCTATTCCATTCCATATTTCTATTCTATTCTATTCTATTCTATTCTATTCTATTCTATTCTATTCTATTCTATTCTATTCTATTCTATTCCATTCCATTCCATTCCATCCTTTCTATTCTATTCTATTCTATTCTATTCTATTCTATTCTATTCTATTCTATTCTATTCTATTCTATTCTATTCTATTCTATTCTATTCTATTCCATTCCATTCCATTCTATTCTATTCTCCAAAGCCTTTGAAGGCAGGACAAGAAGCAACGGATGGAAACTAATCAAGGAGAGAAGCAACCTAGAACTAAGGAGAAACTTCCTGACAGTGAGGACAATTAACCAGTGGAACAACCTGCCTCCAGAAGTTGTGGGTGCTCCAACACTGGAGTTTTTAAAGAAGAGACTGGACAGCCATTTGTCTGGAATGGTATAGGATTTTCTGCTTGAGCAGGGGGTTGGACTAGATGACCTCCAAGGTCCCTTCCAGCTCTGTTACTCTGTATTTCAGCAACCTAGATTAAGCTGTCCTTCTCTAAGACCAGGAGAGATCGGATTAATCAAGTGCATTAAATGAGAAGTGAAATCTTCAATGAGACTAAACGAAATCAATCCACAGATAGTCCTTGATTTACGAATTCTGTTGCTAAGGGAAACAAGTGTCTTTTGCCCCATTTTACGACCCTTTTTGCCACAGTGGTGCACTGAACCAGTGCAGTTGTTAAGCGAGACACATGGTTGCTAAGTGAATCCGGCTTTCCCCATTAACTTTGCTTGTCCAGAAGGTTGCAAAAGGGAATCACGTGACCCTGGGGGACACCGCGACCGTCGTAAATATGAACCAGTTGCCAATATTTTATGAATTTTTTTTTTACATAACCACCTAAATATTTGGTAAACATCGTGTTGTCTGGGTTTATATTTAAAAAAACAGTAACAATTAATTTCTATAATTCTATAGTCCACATGACAGCTTTGCTGGATGTTCTCTTCTTCCAAAAATGTTCTCTTTTGCCCATCTTGAATTCATAGATTTCTTATGATTTGGATAAATAACAAATGTAGAACTTTTTCTAATATTTCTGCAAATCATAACCGCATTGATACAAAGCTGCTTTTTCTAGCTGGTCATCTTGATTGCCTTATCCTAGATCAGTGGTTCTCCACCTGTGGGTCGGGACCCCATTTGGGGTCAAACGACCATTTCACGGGGGTCGCCAAACAACGCAGTCCGCCCTTTTTTTCCCCCCATTTCCTTAGCTGTGCTACTCCCTTTTATTCTATTGGCTTTTGAAAGCCAATAGAATAGACTCTCTTGAATAGAGTCTCATTCTATTGGCTTTCAAAAGCCAATAGGAATTGTCCAGGCTGTCTCTGCCCTGCTGAGCCCGCCAAAAGTCCCATTCTGCAAATGGTGCTGCACCAGTTGAGTAGTCCTCGACTTACGACTGGTTGGGGGTCGCGGCATTAAAAAGGTTGAGAACCACTGTCCTAGATCCTCTTTAAAATTCTTACTTAAATTTGTTTTTCCCACAATATTCAAAACCTTCTTACGGGTTCAGATTTTCATTACACTTAAGGATTTAAGTCTTTTTCCCGCATGCAGGCCATCCCAACACCTTTACACTTCTCATATCTTAAAAGAATAAATAAAAAAGAAAAGCGTCTGTTTTGATCATGTGACCCTGGGCAAGGCTGCAATGGCTCTTGGTGTGAAAAGAGTCATTAAGTCACTTTTTCCAGCTTCGTCGTAACTTTGAACGGTCACTAAACCAAGTTGCAAGTCAAGGACTCCCTGTAATATGCAAGTTGCAGGAAACCTGGGCGAGAAAGGATTAAAAAAAAAGGAGCACAATCAAAATTTGTAGATAAGAAAAAACGGTGGCATCTAAAAAGGTCGGCTGTGGGATGTTTAACCTGTTTATGCAAATCTGATTTAAACACACCTCGTTAATTTGGTTGTTTTTAATTGAAAGGTTGATCTACAAGCAAACAGGAAAATCTGAGCACCCAGGAGTTGGTCTCTGGAAAGAAGCTGCATGAGTTAGGACGATTTCGCCCTAGACGGTGTCCCCTGCGCCTTTGCGGTCGCCAGTTGTAGAGACTCAGCCTACTCCGCCATGTCAACCTTGTATCCCTCGCTGGAAGATCTGAAGGTTCATCACATGTTGACGGTGAAAACTTCTTTCTTCTCATCTTTGCAGAAGCCACCGCTCGGAGTAGGGCAGAATTCAATGCAAGGGACAAAGTGACAGACAGATTCCGTTCTGGCTCTTAAGAGGTGCCAAGTCTAGGCAGCCCTTGATTTACGAACACAACTGGAGCCAGATTTTCCTTTGCTAAGCAAGGAGGTTGTTAAGCAAGTCACAGCTGATGTTACGACCTTTTCCGCCACGGTTGCTGAGCGAATCACTGCAGTTGCTAGGTGAATTGGGTGGCCATTAAGTGGCTTCCTGCATTGACTTTGCATTTCGGAAGCCAGCTGATACACTTGCAAATGGTGATCACACAAGACGCTGCGAGATGCTGCAATTGCCATAAATATGTGCTGGTTGCCAAATGCCTGAATTTTGATCCCGTGACTGTGGGGTTGTTGTGTCGGTTGTAAGTGTGAGGATTGATCATAAGTCCCTTTTTTAATGCCATTGTAACTTGGAATGGTCACTAAACAAATAGTCATATGTTGAGGACAAATTGTATCCCTCAACAACTAGAACAAAAAGAATTAATGTTCTAATATTGGCAGTTTCATTTTCAACAAATGCATGCAGTCCTCAACTTACAGCTGTTTGTTTAACGACCGTTCAAATTTGCAACGGCACTGAAAAAAGACTCACAACTGTTGTTCACACTTATAACCGTTGCAGCGTCCCTTGTGGTCACGTGATCAAAATCTGCCCGTTTGGCAACTGACTCCCATTTGTGACATATTTGCAGTTGTCCCGGGGGGGGGGGTATCGTGTGATTCCTCTTTTTGCGACCTTCCGACAAGCGAAGTCAGATTCGCTTAACTGCCGTGTGACTAACTTCACAACTGCAACGATTCACTTAACAACCACGGAGAAAAGCATTGTAAAATGGGGCAAAACACACTTAACTGTCTCACTTTAACAACAGAAATGTCGTGGTCGTAAGTTGAGGACCACGTGTAGCAAAAAGAATTAATGTTCTAACCATGGTTGATTCCATTTTCAGCCAAGATGGCTGAAAATTGGAGTTTTTCAAAAAGGGGCTGAAATACTGGCCCCTTCCCCAATTTAATGAATCACCATTAAATATCTTTCTTTTCTCCATCTGATCAATCAATCCTTCCTCGGCCTTATGACTCCAAATCTTGGACTGCTGTTCCTATAATTCCCAAGTTCTAAGGACCCCCTTGGCTGGGGATGATGGGAGCTCATTCCAAAGCATCTGGAGAGGCTTCTGTAGGTTTCCTAAGTGGAAAAACCAGGTGAGGGATGGCCTTATCCTACCAACCCACTGGGAGTGGGAAGTGTTAATCATGGTTGCTAAGAAGAATGCAATGAAATAATTTTGGTCGCCTTTCTTGTTCTCCAACTTCTCTCATCTGATAAGCTCTATACCTCAACGCCCAGAACCGGATGGTTGAGATCTTGCCAACCGTTGGACGGTTTTTCCTAATATTTAATCAAATGAACCTCCTCCACAAGTTGTGCTTGCTCCATCACTGGAGATTTTCAAGAAGAGACAAGATAGCTATTTGCCCAGAATGATATTATAGGGCGGGGGTGTCAAACTCAATTTCATTGAGGGCCGCATCAGCATTGCGATTTCCCTTGGGGGGCTGGGTGGTGTGGCTAGGGTGGGTGCAGCCTATTGGATGGGCATGGATGGAGTGGGTGTGACCTACTGGGTGGGCCTGGCCAGCTCTACATCATTCATGTCAAGGGTACCTGTGAGGGCCTGGGCAGGAGTGGGACAGATCTGAGGGTCTCTGGCAGAAGGGGGTGGGACCGGGGCAAGCACCAAGGCATGGTCCACTGGAGGAGCCTCACTGTTCATCTCAGGCTCACCAGCTTTGCACCTTGCTGCCTGCTGAAACTGGGCAGACTGGGGGCTAGACAGCATTGCACGTCTCATCAGATTCGCGCCACCCGGCTCAGCTCTTGGCGCTATGAAGAGCGCGCCCCGCTGCCTGCCGACACCAGGCAGGCTGGGGGCTGGGTGGCATCGCGCTTCTTTTTGGATTCGTGCCGCCTGGCTCAGCCTCTTGGCGCTGTGCCTGCCGAAACCCCTCCCCCAGAGCCCATCAAGCCGGATAGGTGAAGTAGGCGAGGGCCATTTGCTGGCCACTTCCAGGCGATGGTGCATTTCTTCATTCCTCACAAAGGGTGACACTTCCCCAGCATGCACTCAGGGGACGAGGCCAACGCGGCAGGGGCTGGTTCCTCGCTGTTTCCAGACGGCCTTGTAGAGCTAAGACTGAATGCGTTTCAGCATAGGTGGCCACCACAAAATTGTACATTGGCTCCCGGCCGGCCTGGGCGAGGGCCAAGGCAGCGGGGGCTGTTCCCTCATTGTTTCCAGGATGGCTTCGTGGGCCACATGAAATCACTTCATGGGCCGCATCTGGCCCCCGGGCCTTGTGTTTGACATGTCTGTTATAGGGTCTCCTGCCTTGAAGCAGTGAGTTGGACTAGAAGACCTCCAAGTCCCTTCCAGCTCTAGGGTTCTAAATCTACCCATCTTAAGGCATGCTGGCTGGGGGATTCTGGGCGTTGAAGTCAGAGGGAGACCCGACCTGGAAATATGGAGGACAGTGAACAATTAATCAGTGGAACAACCTGCCTCCAGACGTTGTGGGTGCTCCAGCAATGGAGGTTTTCAAGAAGAAACTGGACCACCATTTGTCTGCTTTGTTTGAGCAGGGGGTTGGACTAGAAGACCTCCAAGGTCCCTTCCAGCCCTATTCCATGTTCTATGTTCTAAATGTGTGTCTTGTACTCAGTGACACCCTTTCAGCAGCTGTCATTTTTCTTACAGTAAGTGGTTTTTTCAGAAGCTTTCACTCTTAGATCCTGGCTCATCTTGGTCAATCCATTCCCGATTCAAAGGAGTCTCAATTTGAGCATCAACCCCATGGTGGTCTGCCCGGAGCAGAATAGAACACCGGAGTGATCTATCATGATGTGAAGATACAACTTGTAGGATAACGTTGGGCATGGTGGCTAATTCGTATTTTTTGTTTTATTTCTGCTGCAGAAATCAGCAGAATTCACGGGCAGAAGTTGTACCTTTTCAAATTTCATTTAATATTAGGGAAAAAATGGTTTCTTGATTGTAAGATCTGCCCCACAGTGTAATGATCTATTTCCAGAGTAGTATTTCTCAACATTGCCAAGTTGAAGGGGTGTGGACGTCAACTCCTTACAATCCTTCAAGGTGATGACCAACCAGGGATGTCCTTTAGAGGTGAAACTAGGAGATTGTGTCAGAGCATGCCCAGTTTTATTGCGCTGAGATAATCCAGGAGTAAACACAGTGAACAGTGGTCTATATTAAATGGTGGTTTATCTTAAACTATCTACAGCAGTGATTCTCAACCTTTCTAATGCCGTGACCCCATAATACAGTTCCCCATGTTGTGGTGACCCCCATGTGGGTGTGGCCACCAATAAGAGGGAGTAGGACAGCTAGGGAAAAAGGAAAAAAATGGCGGACAGCATGGTTTGGCGACCCCCGTGAAATGGTCATTCGACCCCAAATGGGGTCCCGACCCACAGGTTGAGAACCACTGATCTACAGTATCATACACCAGGCACAATATACATACATGTGGCAATACAGCAAACTCCAACACACAGCAGTTACAGCAAGAAATGGACAAGAGAGAGAGAGAGAGAGAGAGAGAGAGAGAAAGAGACACTCCAGCAAAAGCCTTCCCTTTTATACTCAGGCTCTTAAAGGGACACAGACCCTGCTGAGTCATTCCTATCATTGCATCATCCACCTTATATTCCATTACATCATTACATAAGCTGTTTAGCTATTAAATGATGACCCTGACAGATTGTTACTGTCTTCTCTTTCAAGTTAGGGAATGACGTGCCTCTTTTCTTCCATTATAGGCCAAGGACAATGCTGTAGGGCCACAGCCCATAGCCTCAGCTCCGGCCCCTACTGCAAGAGAGATGCCAGAGCCACCCAAAGCAGATGGTAACATACTTCAGAACATCATCCATATCTTCTGGGCCATTATTAAAACAATCTCTGCTATTGATAGCCAGGAGGCCACAACTTTTTTCAGAGGAATGCTTCTTTTGGAAGCTGGCTCACGCCACAAGGAGGAGGGCACCACAAAGAATGGGTTAGGGTGGGGGGAACTGGGAACAGGTGGACCCAAGCGAGGGATTGTAGGAGCTCCCAGATAGTTCTGGGATGGTCATGAACATCATATGAAGCAAGTGGCTTGTAGATGGGAGAGGACCTGGCCGTCAGCCTGAAGAGAACGCTAAGAAAAAGACGCAGGCATGTCTTGAGCAGAGGTTTGAAGCTGCAGGACACAGCTTGACAAACTCTTGAGTTTATTGCTTCTTATATACTTTTTACATACATAGGCTTTACCATTAACTGCTGACATTTTACATTTATAAGTTTAACCTTTAGCTGTTGACATAAAGTAATTGAAAAATTCTTTCATATAAGCAACTATTTTCTAGTAACACATTACATGGTCAGAGATCAGGTAAAGACAAATACAGGTAGATGAAAGACAGGAAGAGATAAGGGGGAACTTAAAGCATATTACTTATTTAGGTAGGTAAGGTATTAAGTCAAAAGGGGGTGATCTTTTGGCTGCTTCCTTGGGACAAAGGGTATCAAAAGGTTATGAGGTTTGTGGGGGGGAAAGCATGGCAGTTTGCTGCGCGTGCAAATTCCCCCACAGTTCCCCCCAAAATGCTGGTTTCTAGAGAAGAGTCTATTTGTCCTGTTGTGGAAAAACCCAATGGAAAAGATGAGAGACAGCAACACAAAACCATAATTCTTACTTTAAGATTCAGAGGTTTATTTTTCTAATCCACAGAGGGAGATGGAGAGAGAGGAATGGACCTGGAGTTTTTGCTGTTTTGGCGATTTATTTATTTTTTGGGGCTGTTCTCAAATAATATTCACACGACCCATTCTCCTGTCTTGCTAACTTTAAGCAAAAGATGGAGATGGACCGTGTTAAACCATGTTCAGCTGATGTGGACATTTGGCCCTTAAAAAAATAATTCAAGGTGTCTCCTTCAAATGGTGGACATCATCTCAGCGTGTGGTGAGCAGAGATGGGTGCAGGATCTGGCAAGCTTTGTCTCAACCAAGACCAAAATATACCAGCCAGCCTAATCCTTTGAATTATTTCTTCCATTTCTTTTTTCCAGATCCACCAGTTTTGTACCCAGATCTTGCTGATCTCAATGATTACATGGGTCTCTCTCTTTCCAGCGAGGAGATCCAGAGGAATTTAGCTCTCATCCCGACAGCCAATACTGTAAGCATTTTTGAACACAGTCTTTCATGCACCTTTTTTTCACATAGATTCACGTTCATGCGGGAAATGATAGCCTGTAACTGTAACCAATGAGGGGGATCTGGGAGTCCCAGTGGACAATCCCTTAAATAGGAGCCAGCCGTGTGCTGCAACTGCCAAAAAAGCCAACACAGTGCTGGGCTGCATTAACAGAGGGATAGAATCAAGATCACGTGAAGTATTAATACCACTCTTCAATGCCTTGGTAAGGTCACACTTGGAATCTGGCATCCAGTTTTGGTCAACACAAAGTAAAAAAGATGTTGAGACTCTAGAAAGAGTGCAGAGAAGAGCAACAAAGATGATCAGGGGACTGGAGGCTAAAACATATAAGGAACGGTTGCTGGAATTGGGTATGTCTAGTTTAACGAAGAGAAGGACGAGGGGGGATAGGATAGTAGCCTTCCAATATCTCAGGGGCTGCCCCAAAGAAGAGGGAGTCAAGCTATTCTCCAAAGCGCCTGAAGGCAGGACAAGAAGCAACGGATGGAAACTCATCAAGGAGAGAAGCAACCTGGAACTAAGGAGAAACTTCCTGACAGTTAGAACAATTAACCAGTGGAACAACCTGCCTCCAGAAGCTGTGAATGCTCCAATACTGGAGGTTTTTAAGAAGAGACTGGACAGCCATTTGTCTGAAATGGTATAGGGTTTCCTGCTTGAGCAGGACTAGAAGACCATCACTACCACCACCACCACCATCACCACCACCACCACCATCATCATTATTATTATACCAAGATTAGTCCAGCATCCCACCAACATGTCATGGTGCATACCTGTAGGGACAATGGGATGATTATGAAACAATTCTCAGCTGTCAAAGTTAGGATATCAATTTTCTAATTTGCTTCGATAAATATTCCTGAAGTTGTTGATGTTCTTCAGAGCTGTTGGATTGATTTGGTCCTGCTGGAGGTTAAAGTGTGAGTAAAACAGTGTGAGTATAACAGAAAAACATAGTTGGAAGGGATATTGGAGATCATCTAGTCCAGTGGTTGTCAACCTTTTTAATGCCGCGACCCCCAACCGGTCGTAAGTCGAGGACTACTCAACTGGTCGTAAGTCAAGGACTACTCAACTGGTGCAGCACCGTTTGCAGAATGGGACTTTTGGCGGGCTCAGCAGGGCAGAGACAGCCTGGACAATTCCTATTGGCTTTTGAAAGCCAATAGAATTAGACTCTATTCAAGAGAGTCTATTCTATTGGCTTTCAAAAGCCAATAGAATAAAAGGGAGTAGCACAGCTAAGGAAAAGGGGGAAAAAATGGCAGATTGCGTTGTTTGGCGACCCACATTCGACCCCAAATGGGGTCCCAACCCACAGGTTGAGAACCACTAATCTAGTCCAACCCCCTACTCAGGCAGGAAACCTATACCATTTCAGGCAAATGGCTGTCCAGTCTCTTCTTAAAAACTTCCAGTGTTGGAGCATTCACTGCTTCTGGAGGCAGGTTGTTCCACTGGTTAATTGTTCTAACTGTCAGGAAATTTCTCCTTAGTTCTAGGTTGCTTCTCTCCTTGATGAGTTTCCATCAATTTGTCCTCAACATACGTGTTGAGTTTCCATCCATTGCTTCTTCTCCTAACTTCTGGGGCTTTGGAGAAGAGCTTTGATATTGGAACACTGCTATCGTGTCACTCCTAGTCCTTCTCTTCATTAAACGAGATGTACAACCGTTCCTTGTATGTTTTAGCCTCCAATCTCCTAAGGCAGGGGTCTTCAAACTGGCCCTTTTATGATGTGTGGACCAACTCCCAGAATTCCTCAGCCAGCATGCCTGGCTGAGGAATTCTGGGAGTTGAAGTCCACAAGTCATAAAAGGGCCAAGTTTGAAGACCCCTGTCCTAAGGGTTGATGGGTTCAACCCTAAGGATAGAAGTTTAACTAGGACCTTCAAGAACCTTCTTGATCTGCGGAGAAGAATTCTTTCTTTCTGCATTGCTTCTTCAACTTGGCTTTCTTGACAGGCCGTGGGGCCAAACTCTTCAGCTCAAGGCCCATTGGTGGCTCCAGTGACAGGAAGCAACGCGGGGCTGCGTCGGGCAGAGATCAAACCGGGCTTGCGTGAGATCCACCTTTGCAAGGATGAACATGGGAAGACGGGACTGCATCTGAGGAACATTGATAAGGTGAGTTCTGGAAAGGGGGGTCCTAAGCAGGGGAAGATCTGGGGAAATCTACATTTTTCTGGACCATCCTGGGACCACCGTCATTCTCCATCTGATCTTCTTTGTTGGATCTGGATGTAGTATTGAAATAATAGGACTGATAAGAGTTAGCAGGTTTTATCTGCCACAGGTTGGTCTTATCTCCTTTGAGAGCTGACTAAACCAGCAATAAAATGCTTCATCCAGTGGTGGGATTCAGCCGGTTCGCACTACTTCGGCAGAACCGGTAGCTAATTTTTTGTTGCCCAGGCCCAGAATGGACTTCTGGAAGCAACATCCACACAGTGAACCGGTTGCTCACCTATTTGAATCCCACCACTGGTTTCATCCTTTTGAAGTGATCTAAGGATGGGGGATTGTTGAATTGTGACCTACTGATTTTCCAGAGTTAATCCAGTGGCATTCTTGGTATTGAATCCACGCTTGGTTTAAGTGTAGGTTTCCTGGCTAAATGCAAGAGAAACACCCTCTGGGGCTTTTTTTATGACTGTCAATCTCCTAATGCACATCCACACGGAAAGACGGGAACATCACGAATCCTGAAAACCGTTTCCTCTTTATTTAGTTTTAGTTATCTGCTCAACCCCCAAGTTTCCAGGTGCCCGATAAAAACTCGAAAAGAGTATTCCTTCATCCAGGCAGGAGCCACATTCATCCATCACAATGTTTCTCAACCTTAGCAAGATTAAGAGGGGTGGACTTCAACTCCCAGAATTCCCCAGCCAATTGTGCTGGCTGGGGAATGCTGGGAGTGGAAGTCCACCCATCTTAACCTTGTTAAGGTTGGGGAAAAACTGATCCAGCAAATTGTCACTGGAGAAGGCCATGCTGGCTGGGGAATGCTGGGAGCTGAAGTCCATCCGTCTTAACATTGGCTCAAAAGCAACAGCCTTAATCTGCTAGACTGCTCCTGGCTGTGGAGGCTTTGCTTTCCCGATCCAGTGAAAATGGGTTGCTTGACCTTCCAGTTTTTTTTTTAAAGCCAGATTTTTCCAGGTGAGCAGAAATTTATTTTATTGATTAATAAGTTCTCTTTTTTTAGTTTAGAATTTTTTTAGTTTAGAAAGCAAGGAGGGAGATGGAGAGAGAGCAATGAGCCTGGAGTTTTTGCTGTTTTGGTGATTTTATCTATCAGAATCAATGCAGCAGAATAGGAATAGAATAGAGTAGAGTAGAGTAGAGTAGAGTAGAGTAAAGTAGAGTAGAGTAGAGTAGAATAGAATAGAAAATAGGGAATATAGAGTAGAGTAGAGTAGAGTAGAGTAGAATAGAATAGAATAGAATAGAATAAAAAAGAAAATAGGGAATAGAATAGAGTAGAGTAGAGAAGAGTAGAGTAGAGTAGAGTAGAGTAGAATAGAATAGAAAAGAAAATAGGGAATAGAATAGAATAGAGTAGAGTAGAGAAGAGTAGAGTAGAGTAGAGTAGAGTAGAGTAGAGTAGAGTAGAGTAGAGTAGAATAGAATAGAAAATAGGGAATATAGAGTAGAGTAGAGTAGAGTAGAGTAGAGTAGAATAGAATAGAATAGAATAGAATAGAATAGAATAGAATAGAATAGAATAAAAAAGAAAATAGGGAATAGAATAGAGTAGAGAAGAGTAGAGTAGAGTAGAGTAGAGTAGAATAGAATAGAAAAGAAAATAGGGAATAGAATAGAATAGAGTAGAGAAGAGTAGAGTAGAGTAGAGTAGAGTAGAGTAGAGTAGACTAGAATAGAATAGAATAGAATTACAGAATAGAAACACAGACTAGAATAGAAACACAGAATAGAATAGAATAGAAATACAGAATAGAAAAGAATAGAAATACAGAATAAAATATAGAATAGAAATACAGAACAGAACAGAACAGAATAGAGCTGTAAGGGACCTTGGTGGTCTTCTAGTCCAGCCCCCTGCTCTAACACTGTCTTCTCCCGCAGGGGCTCTTTGTGCAGTTGGTCAAAGCCAACTCTCCAGCATCTCTGGTGGGGCTGCGTTTCGGCGATCAGATCCTCCAGATCAACGGGAGGAACTGCGCGGGGTGGAACATGGAGAAGGCAAAGCGGGCGCTGAAGAAGGCCTCACCGGAGAAGATCGTTATGGTGGTCCGTGACAGGTGAGGAATGGGAAGCGGAGATGCTGGTCAGACAGGTCCGTTTTGTGCCCAGGGTGACTACGTTCCTCCTCTATGAGATTTCCTTCCTTACAACCCTCTGTTGACAAGGTCTCTTCTTAACAGAATAACAGAGTTGGATGGGACCTTGGAGGTCATCTAGTCCAACCACTGCCCAAGCAGGAGACCCTACACCATTTCGGACAAATGGCTGTCCAGTCTCTTCTTAAAAACTTCCAGTGATGGAGCGCCCATGATTTCTGGTGGCAAGCTGTTCCACTGATTAATTGTCCTCACTGTCAGGAAGTTTCTCCTTAGTTCCAGGTTGCTTCTCTCCTTGATGAGTTTCCAACCGTTGTTTCTTCTCCTGCCTTCTGTTGTTTTGGAGAATAGCCTGACCCTGTCCTTTTTGGGACAACCTGAGCTAACTTCTCCTCTGCCCCCATGTTTGCTAGGCCTTTCCAGCGAACGGTGACCATGCACAAAGACAGCACCGGCCATTTGGGTTTCGTGATCAAGAAGGGCCAGATCACCTCACTGGCCAGAGACAGCTCTGCAGCCCGGAATGGGCTCCTTACCCACCATTACGTCTGTGAAGTGAACGGACAGAACGTCATTGGTCTAAAGGTGAGGACTGAACAGAGAACAACAGAACAGAACAGAAAAGATTGTAGAATAGAATAGAATAGAATAGAATAGAATAGAATAGAATAGAATGGAGAAGAGAAATAGAATAGAATAGCATAGAACAGCATAGAATAGCATAGCATAGCATAGCATAGAATAGAATAGCACAGAATAGAATAGAATAGAATAGAATAGAATAGAATAGAATAGAATAGAATAGAATAGAATAGGATGGGATGGGGTGGGATAGGATAGGATAGAAAATTGGGATAGGATAGGATAGGATAGGATAGGATAGGATAAACAGATAATAGAATAGCATAGAATAGCATAGCATGGCATGGCATGGCATGGAATGGAATAGAATAGAATAGAATAGAATAGAATAGAATAGAATAGAATAGAATAGAATAGAAGCTGGAAGGGATTTTGGAGGTCTTCTAGTCCAGCCCCCTGCTCAAGCAGGAGAACCTATACCATCTCAAAAGAATGGGGCTTGCTTTAGTTAGTATATAAACAGAGAGGAATCTTGCTCTCTTCTAGCACTGATGATGTTACCTAGTTGGATCATGAAATGTCTGCATGAAAAGAACCAAATTCAGAGAGCACCAAGGACCCCACAGTCTTCCTCCTCCTCCTCCTCCTCCTCCTCCTCCTCCTCCTCCTCCTCCTCCTCCTCCTCCTCCTCCTCCTCTTCCTCCTCCTCCTCCTCCTCCTCCCCCTCTCCACAGTCTCTCCTAGCACTGATGACGTTCCCTACTTGGGTCATGAAATGTCTGCAAGAAAACTACCAAGCTAAGAGAGCATCAAGGACCGCACAGTCGTCCTCCTCCTCCTCCTCCTCCTCCTCCTCCTCCTCCCCACAGTCTCTTCTAGCACTGATGATGTTCCCTAGTTGGGTCATGAAACATTTGCAAGAAAACCACCCAGCTCAGAGAGCCCCAAGGACCCCTCAAAAACTGCTTTGCTCCCTCTTTACAATCAGTCCTAACCTGATCATAGCCTCTCCCTTCTCAAGGACAAGGAGATCACCGAGATTCTGGCAAACGCTGGCAAGATCATCACCCTCACCATCGTCCCCGCCATCATCTACGAGCACATGATCAAAAAGTAAGTCTCCGAGGGCCAAACGAGCGGGTCTCGCTGGTGCTGGAAAATTACATTGGGGAATTCTAGTTTCCCTTGCACCCTGCACCCTCCCAGTTCCTGATCAGAGCCAGCTTACAGGGCGCTGAGTTCCCGGCATCAAAAACGAGGGCTGAAGTTTATTGATTAAGCATCAGCAAACAAACAAAATTCACTTGGCAGAGCAGGAGAAAGGAAAAAGTCGGGGGAGAGACAGAGATGCGAACAGCAGGCAAGGTTTTAGACCAGTGGTTCTCAACCTTTTTAATGCCGCAACCCCCAACCGGTCGTAAGTCGAGGACTACTCAACCGGTCGTAAGCCGAGGACTACTCAACTGGTGCAGCACCGTTTGCAGAATGGGACTTTTGGCGGGCTCAGCAGGGCAGAGGCAGCCTGGACAATTCCTATTGGCTTTTGAAAGCCAATAGAATTAGACTCTATTCAAGAGAGTCTATTCTATTGGCTTTCCAAAGCCAATAGAATAAAAGGGAGTAGCACAGCTAAGGAAAAGGGGGAAAAAATGGCGGACTGCGTTGTTTGGCGACCCCTGTGACATGGTCGTTCGACCCCAAATGGGGTCCCGACCCACAGGTTGAGAACCACTGATCTACGGGTAGTCCTCAAATGAGCGTGCCTGGTTGAGGAAGTCCACAAGTCGTAAAAAGGCCAAGTTTGAAGACCCCCCCTAGTGCAGAGGTGGCAAACCTATGGCACGGGTGCCAGAGGTGGCACTCGGAGCCCTCTCTGTGGGCACACGTGCTGTTGCCCCAGCCTTGCCTCCCCCCGTAAGCCCCTCCTCTCCAGCAGCCCCCCTTGGAGGAGAGATGCCCCCGAGCGTGGCCCACGCGGAGCAGCGCAGCCAAGGACATGGCAGCCAGGCAGCATAGACAAGACTCTGCCCTCACACCCCATCCCGCACAGTTGATGCTGCAATGCGTGGGCAGAGGGTGTGGCCGCCATAGCGCTGCTGGGTTGCCTGGGCGATTTGCGGCGGGCCCTGGAGGCAGTGAGTGGTCCTGTGAGCAGGTGGGGCAGGGGATGGGACAGCAGAGCGGGGGGGGGCAGGGGATGGAGTGGGGCAGGGCCAATTTTGGGCACTCGGTCTCTAAAAGGTTCACCATCACTGCCCTAGTGGGTCAACATCTGACTGCCTCCGATTTTATGGTGGGTTTTTTTTGTGGCAGTTATTAATGGAAGGCCAATGGGCGTAAAGCAAACACGGTGGTTGTTCAGGGAATGCTACGGTCGTTAAATGAATCCATGTTCCACAATGAGTGGGTTTTTTTGTCGCAAATAAGGGTTTCTGGCAAAAACATTGTAAATCACGACCACGTGAGTGGTGGATATGGCAAATGAATGTAAATGCGTGCCGGTTGTTGGGCACCCAAAATACAGTGACATGACAGTGCGGTGGGGGTGTTGGTGGGGCAAATGTCAGAATTTTGGAGTCCCAGGGATGTCTGTCATAACTTTTAAAGCCGTCACTAAGCAATCGGTCACAAGTTGAGGACGACCTGTATAACTGTGTCTCCCAAAAGGCACGAAGCTGGCTGATCAGTCCTGGGTTTCTCCCAGATTTAAACTTTTCAGCTGCCAGTAGCCCAAAATTTCCTTTGCCAAGCAGGGGGTTGGACTAGATGACCTCCAAGGTCCCTTCCAACTTTATTATTATTATTATTGATCATTGCACAGTCAGCCAGATGTTCAGACTGGATTTGGCATTTTTGTCTACCTAGCAAGTCCTTCCCGAGGACCTGGGATAGGCAGATGTGGATGTTTGATGGTGGTTGTTATTATTATTATTATTAGGCAATTGTTAAGTGAGTTTTTCTCCATTTTATGATTTTTACTCTCTTACTCTGTTTTCTGCATCCGACATGTAGTCCTTGACTTACGACTGCAACCGAAACGAACATTTCCGTTGGCCAAGCGAGACAGTGGTTAAGTGAGCTTTGCCCCGTTTTACGACCTTTCTTGCCGCCGTTCTTAAGCGAATCACTCCATTGGGAAGACGGTTGTTAAGTGAATACGGCTTCCCCATTTGACCTGGCTTGTCCGAAGGTTGCAAAAAAGGATTGCGGGGCCCCGGGACACTACAACCGTTGTAACTACGAGTCAGTTGCCGAGTGTCTGAATTTTGATCACGCGGCCACAGGGGACGCTGCAACGGTCGTAAGTGCGAAAACAGGTCATAAGTTGCTTTTTTTTGCTTCTGACAAAGTCAATGAGGCGAGCTAGATTTGTTTAACAACCCCACAATTTGTTTAACTACTGCAGCGATTTGTTTAACAACGATGGCAAGGAGGACATAAAATGGGCCGCAACCCACTCAACAACTGTCTCACTTAACAACTGAAATTTGGTCGTATGTGGAGGACTGACTTGTATCATTAGAAGAGGGGAAAGCAGTTGTGATGCTCTTTTAGACCAACCCCGGTGACCGTTCCTTAAAGCGAGGCTGATTTTGTGACTTTGTTTCTCTTTTGTAAGGCTTTCAAGCGGGCTGGTGAAGTCATCCATGGATCGCTCCATCCCCGATATATAAATTTTTCGCCACCTCCGGCCTGAGATGCATGACTGCCTGGAAGTGCCCTGGAATTTCCTGGAATTATTCTACCGAGGCTGCTCAGAAGAGGAAAAAAAATAAATGAACAAATATATTGCTTTAATCTTTTGACATGCATTCAAGTTTCTAGGCCTCTGTAAGTTATCTTACTGTTGACGCCTGCCCCACTCAGAAAGAAATCTTTCAGTCTTGAAATTGGGGCTATTGTTTTTGCAGTAGGAAAGGAAGCAGTCAATTTTACAGTTCAGATATGATTATTTTTTGAGAAAATCCCATTAATAGTAATAATAATAATAATAATAATAATAATAATTTTTTAAAAAATAAAAAAAATAAGAAAGACAAAAAAGTTTGGATAGTGGACATGGCAGTGCCTGGAGATAGCAGAATAGAAGAGAAAGAACTGGAGAAGATAACAAAATACAAAGACCTACAAATAGAAATAGAAAGACTGTGCAAAAGCAAGCAAGGGTAGTACCAATAGTCATAGGCTCCTTGGGTGCAATCCCAAAACAACTGGAGCACCACTTGAACACAATTGGCATTGACAAATTCGCTATTAGTCAATTGCAAAAGGCGGCCTTACTAGGAACTGCTTCCATCCTGCGACGATATCTGTAACACCATCAAACATCCACATCTGCCTATCCCAGGTCCTGGGTAAGGACTCGATAGGTAGACAAAAATGCCAAATCCAGTCTGAACATCTGGCTGACTGTGCGATGATCGATAATAAAAAAGCTGGAAGGGACCTTGGAGGTCATCTAGTCCAGTGGTTTTTAACCTTTTTGAACGAATTGCCCCCTTGAGCCAATGAGGAAGTTGTCATTGCCCTCCTCCCCCAATATAACCTCTCAATCACAACATAGGAAATAATTCTTCAATTTATCCAAACACTTTTTTGGTTTTCTTTAAAATTGTCATCAGGACATATCGATGCAAATAATTTATTTCCAGTCTTTTTCCCATATCTCAACTGTGTGAAAAATTTTTTGGTGCCACCCGTCACTTTATTCCCAACCTTTGTGATCCATGTATTTCATGATTATCTTATTTATTCAAGACACTTAAATGTAGTGACCACTGAAAACAAAATTCAATTGCAAGAAAGTGAAACGCCCAAAAACAAAAACAGTAACATTTAATGATTGAATTACAAGTGAAATTTAAGACGCAAAAAGAAATATAAAAAGGGCACAAGAACAAACCGCAATGCAGGAACTAAGAACTTCAAGACGAAAACTCTGAAACTCAATTAAGATTCGAGGAAAGTATATATAGTCACGCACATTGTAAAAAGGATTAAAAAGACACAAAGAAAATATGATATCGAACTGGAGTGCACGCTAAAAAAGTACAATACAAAATGTTTTAAAGAGCCGCTCAGCATGCGATGTTTCGAAAGAAGCGCTCCCCCCTCCATCAGATATACAGCGATTCACTGTACGAAAAAGTCTCAAGTGTCCCCAAAACGTCTTGCTCCATCGCCCCCCTATCGCCCCCTTTTCAGTCCGTCGCCCCCCTGAAAAACAAAATCACCCCCTGGGGGGCAATATTGCCCAGGTTAAGAACCACTGATCTAGTCCAACCCCCTGCTCAGGCAGGAAACCCTACACCATTTCAGACAAATGGCTGTCCAGTCTCTTCTTAAAAACTTCCAGTGTTGGAGCATTTACTGCTTCTGGAGGCAGGTAGTTCCATTGGTTAATTGTTCTCACTGTCAGGAAGTTTCTCCTTAGTTCTAGGTTGCTTCTCTCCTTATTTAGTTTCCACCTGTTGCTTCTTGTCCTGCCTTCAGGGGCTTTGGAGAATAGCTTGACTCCCTCTTCTATGGGGCAGCCCCTGAGATATTGGAAGGCTACTATCATGTCCCCCCTCGTCCTTCTCTTCGTTAAACTAGACATACCCAATTCTAGCAACCGTTCCTTATATGTTTTAGCCTCCAGTCCCCTAATCATCTTTGTTGCTCTTCTCTGTACTCTTTCTAGAGTCTCAACATCTTTTTTACATTGTGGTGACCAAAACTGGATGCAGGATTCCAAGTGTGGCCTTACCAAGGCATTATAAAGTGGTATTAATACTTCACGTGATCTTGATTCTGTCCCTCTGTTGATGCAGCCCAGCACTGAGTTGGCCTTTTTGGGCAGCTGCAGCACACGGCTGGCTCCTATTTAAGGGATTGTCCACTAGGACTCCGAGATCCCTCTCACAGTTACTTCTATTGAGCAAGGTATCCCTATACTATACCTGTACATTTGGCTTTTCTTGCCTAAATGTAGAACCTTACTTTTTTCACCATTGAATTTTATTTTGTTACATAGCACCCAGTGTTCAAGTCTGTCCAGATCCTCCTGTATCCTAAGCCTGTCTTCTGGAGTGTTGGCTATTCCTTTTTTCCAGGGGCTACAGCTGGAACAATACAAGGTGGTTTCGCCCAGGGGTCTTCAAACTTGGCCCTTTTATGACTTGTGGACTTCAACTCCCACAAGTCCTCAAGTCATCAAAGGGCCAAGTTTGAAGACCCCTGGTTTAGCCCTATGCAGCGTTTCTCAGCCTTGTCCACTTTTAAGAGGGGTGGACTTCAACTCCCAGAATTCCCCAGCCAGCAAGGCAAAACTGGCTGGGGAATTCTGGGAGTTGAAGTCCACAAAAGTGGCCAAGATTGGACACTCCTGATGCGGGGTGGGCTAGAAGACCTCCAAGGTCCCTTCCAACTCTTGTTATTCTGCATTCTGCATCCTACAACGGACATCGACATTTCTCTTGCTAAATGAGACCGTTAAGTGAGGTTTGCCCCATTTTACAACCTTCCTTGCTCCAGTTGTTAAGTGAGTCACTGCTGTTGTTTAGTTAGGAACACGGTTGTTAAGTGAATCCAGCTTCCCCATTGGATTTTGCTCGTCAGACGGTTGCAAAAGGGGATCGCAGGATCTCCGGACACCGTCATAAACACGAGTCAATTGAGAAGTGTTTGAATCTTGATCACGTGACCAGGGGATGCTGAAATGATCGTAAGTGTGAGAAACGGCCCAAAGTCACTTTGATTTCGAATGTTCGCGAAATGAACAGTTCTTTGTCGAGGGCTATCTGTGTTTTATTCTTGATTTCCAGAAAGGATCCCTGTTTGGGTTGTCCGTAAAAAGTAGAGGCTTCTAGTGACCCAAACAATATATATTTTTTATTACAGCCACCAAACAGACAAAAAGTTACAGGACAACGGGAATTAAACTCCGAGGGAGCGCACACAGCCACTCGGTTCTGTATTTAAAAATATAGAGACTTTTCTTCTTTCAAATATAGTTGTACAGGTGTTTCCTGGCAGAGCTTTGGAGAGCTTAACAAACGTACAAAGACACAGCCACAAACACATCACACAGGAGGCTGGTTTCCTAGCATACCGAACACACCGCCCCACCAAATTCCAGTCCCACCGAGACGTGACAAATTCGACAGGCACATCGGCCCCCTTTGCCCATTTTTTGAACCCGGCGCTCTCGGTTGGCCCCACCCACCCCGCCCAGCCTCACCCCAGAGGGTCTTTGAAGAGGTTGCTTCAAAGCCAAACCCAAGGCGGCGAGGAGGCGCTGCCGGTTTGCACACTCGGCTGCGGACACGGCTGCTTTAAAGAGCACCTGGCTGTCCTCGGCTTTGCAAGGTGGCCGACATAAAGCAAGTCCGTGGCAGGGGAGACTGTGCAGTCTCAACCCAGAGGGTTAGGAGAGATTCTAGGGTCCTTAAGTTGCTCCAAGTCCAAACCTGAGGCTGTGAGGATGGACTGCCCATTTGCAGGTTGGCTGCTGACACGGCTGCTTTAAAGAGCCCCTGGGACCGGCTGTCCTCGGGACAAGCGGTTTACAAGGTGGCGGACATAAAGCAAGTCCGTGGCAGGTGAGACCCATTCTGGAACACTTAGGAAGGCACCCCTCAAGTCTTACAGCCCCGAAAGACAAGCCAACTTTTGAAAGAGAACCCCCAAATGTTGCAGAAGGGGGCGTTGCTTATGACTTAGTGTCTCTCCCCCCACCCATATGCTGAAGGATCTTGAGGAGGCGGATTATCTGAAACAGATCCTCTTGCTTTCAAATAATTCAGATTGTCTGCCCAGATTTATTTATTACGCCGCTGGAACCGAGGTCTACCTCCAGGGTGTATCAGTGACAAGGGGGAAGGGGTTTCCCCAGATATTCCTGTCTGGGGACCCCCAAGCCTGGGGCTGTGTTTGCCCTACCAGAGGTCATCAGCAATGCCATTGGGCCAAACTCAAGGGCAGAAGATCCTTCTTCCATCTTTGCTGACTTTACGCCCCACTTGTCATCTACTCCTCTTCACCCCCCCCCCTCTCTCTCTTCCTCCCTCTCTCTCTCCATCCCATCTCAGTTCTTCAGGAAAGTGCCAGTTCTTCTGGCACAGCGAAGAGACCCTGGGGCAGAGAAGTTTCACTTTTTCACAAGAGTTGGAAAGGGACCTCGGAGGTCATCTAGTCCAACCCCCCGCTCAAGCAGGAGACCCTGTACCATTCCGGGCAAATGGCTGTCCAGTCTTTTCTTAAAAACTTCCAGAGATGGAGCACCCACAACTTCTGGACAGCAGTCGTTCCACTGATTGTTCTGTTAGGAAATTTCTCCTTGGTTCTAGGTATAGAACTGATGAGTGCAGAGAAAAGAGACAAAGATGATTAAGGGACTGGAGGCTCAGACCTATGAAGAACGATTGTAGGAATTGGGGATGTCTAGTTTAACGAAGAGAAGGACGAGGGGGGACAGGATAGCCGTGTCCCAATCTCTCAGGGGCTGCTCCAAAGAAGAGGGAGTCGAGCTATTCTCCAAAGCACCAAAAGGCAGGAGAAGAAGCAATGGATAGAAACTCGTCAACTAAGGAGAAATTTACTGACAGTTAGAACAATTAGTCAGTGGAACAACCTGCCTCCAGAAGCTGTGAATGCTCCATCACTGGAAGTGTTCAAGAAGAGATTGGTCAATCATTTGCCTGAAGTGGTAGAAGGTCTCCTGCCTGAGCAGGGGGTTGGACTAGATGACCTCCAAGGTCCCTTCCAAGCTATTCTCCAAAGCGCCTGAAGGCAGGAGAAGAAGCAACGGATGGAAA